TGAGTGATCAGATTACTTAATAAAAATATCTCAGGGTGGAGTCCTGGCACCATATTTTTAAAAGCTCCTCAGGTAGAACTCTAGCACTCAATTTGGATTAAGAACCATTGATTTAAGGGAACTGGAAAAGTTTTGGAATGGCATTTATGGAGTATGGACTGAATACTTAACTATGGTTAGTAAAATCTACATCTTCGAAACATTAAAATAATATATCAAAATCTGTATCTTTAGTATAGATCAGTCATTTTTTTCAAGAAAACTAGAAGTGTATGAAATGAGACCTTAAGACAATAGAGCATGATATCCACTAGTGTCAATTTGTAAGAGTTCATTGATGGCCTACAAAATGGTACCACATGTCACATAAAATATGCTGAATAAAGTGGAAAAAAATCATTCTCACAACATGTAATTTCCCCCTAAATACAAGGTGTGCTAATGATCTGACTGCATTTCATTTCTGGTTATGTAAGATGCTGATGCTGTTTTATGGCAGTACTCCCAAGTGTGGTTCATGAACCATATACATCAAAATCTCTCTGTTTCTTTTTATAGTAATAAAATATAAGAGATAGAGATAAAGTCAGAAGACTAATTTACAATTGAGAACTTTAATAAGAACCTCATTACTCACATCTTTATGACCAACATATCTACTTCTCGTAGGCAAGGAGGGGTGGTACCTCATAATAAGATAATGGATTCAAATAATTAAGTATATACTTATATCAGGCCAAGACAGTCTCATGGTTACACTGAAAATGATTGAAAATGATCTGATTATAAAACTTAAAATCTGTTATTCAAGACTCTCATTGCAGGAGAATTCTCATTGTCACGTTTATTTCTAATACTTTCACTCTTTTGACATTAGATTACCAACCAATTAGTAAATTGATTGATCTTCTGTTAGATTAATGGAGAAAGGCAGCATTGATGAGGAGTTAGGTGTGGGTCGAGCATAAGAACCTAGTTTGTGACTCTTGAAAGGTATTTGCAGATCATACTTCTGCATCATTTTAACCGGTTTTAAATTTTGTCTCTCAAGGAGAAATCTATATTCTATTATTTAAAGGGCTTTGGAGAATGTTTTATAGCCACACTACTCTTTTATCACATACCAGAAATAACTTTAAAAACACTAATTATAAAGTTTCATTTCTTGGCATTTAAATTTTTTTTTAATTAGAAGTATATTGACACAAACAATGATCTATTTTCATAATATGCATAGTTCAGGGAAATATATAAAATAAGAATCTTTAAAAGCAAAGCAAGATTTGTTTTATAAAAAGATATAATGGGAAAATTAACTTTTGTGCCTGCAAATGCCAGAAATAAGTTTTTGATCCCCTAAAGCAAACATTTTTTGAGATACGGTTCTAACACATAATTGCTATTGTTTTCTTAGTTATACTCACCAGTTCCCTGCTGGCTGTTTATCTGTATAAACTTACTTTTATTTTCAATTATGTTATTATAGAGATGAGAATCAGGTCTAATTAAATTAAGAACATGACAATAATTGTCATTCCTTTATCTGTGTAAAATATAATTTTGTTCCCTATGAGACAGTGCCTCAATAAAGATAAATGTAGTTCTCTCAGTCCATCAACTGACTAGAAATACAATAGTCCCCCCTTATCTGTGAGGGATATGCTACAAGACCCCCGAGGATGCCTGAAACCTCGAATAGTATGGAACCCTAATCAACTTCTTCAACTCTGCCAGAAATGTTGGAGCAGCTTCTTCATCAGCAGATGCAGCCTCTTCAGTAATTTTTACATTTTGAGTCCAAACCTATTCCTGAATCTGTGTAACCACCCCTCACTTGTAATGAATGGCTATGTGTCACTCATTTTAGGGGATCTCCTGCTGAGGTCTTCATACAGGCTCAATACATTCTGGAATAACACATTGCCATTAATCAAAAAATGTTTTCATGTCCTCCACCCATAAATTTTATGTTTTTTACATCCTAACTAAGCATTTATCACACACTGTGTCCATAATTTTCGCAGTATGAGGTACAAGAGCAAAACTAGCACTAATTTCTTTTTCCTTCTTCACAATTTCACAGAAAGAAAATTCATCTTTACTGTAAATCTTAGCAACCTCAGCATATCATTTTTGTTCTTTATTAAGTCAAGAACTTTGACCTTTTCACTTGAAGGAAGTACTTTACAGCTTCTCTTTAGCATATCTGAATTGCCAGTATCACCACTCTTATATTGGGGGCCATTATTAAATAAAATAAGGGTTGAACATAAGCACTGTGATATCACAACAATTGGTCTAATAATCCAGCATCTAACAGGTAGGTAGTATATATATATACACACATATACATCTGTATGTATATGTGTATGTATATGTGTATATATATATATATATATATATATATATCATCATCATGAATATGCTGAACAAAAAGATGGTTCACATTCTGGACAGGACAAAGTGGGATGGTGCAAGATTTTATCAGGATATTCAAACTGCATGCAGTTTAAAACTTAAAATTATTTATTTATGGCATTTTCTATTTTCTATTTCTAGACAATGGCTGACTTAGGTAACTGAAACTGCAGAAAGCTAAACCACAGATAAGTAGGGATTACTGTAAAGGCTAGTACATGTTCATCTTCCCATTTATTTATATCTACTTGTCTGCAACTCTTCATTTATCCTCAAATAAATATTTATTAAGCATCTACTATATTCAGCATCTACTATATGCCAGGCGCTATGGATACAGATGTTATGATTACAGAAATAAACTAACTACATATCTACTCTCAAGACAAATGAGTAAAGAAGTGGATTTTAATAATATATGAAATTTCATAAACAAGATATGAATCAAATGTATTGTGGCTGTTTGAAACCTTTCCCCCCCACTATCACACGCATAGCAGAGGATATGTACACAAAAGATGTACTTTTAGGTAAATTTCCAGTGCCTAGGCTGTGTCACCCCTTTCTATGCCATTCAAAAAAGCATATCTTAATTCAATAAACAAAACATGAATAGCACTGAATTATTTCTAATTTATATTAACAATTATATCATGAAAATTTCGTCCTTTAAATAAATATCGACTGCATGGCTAACATGTCTGGCACGGCCTGAAAAACAGGCCAGCCAGCCAGCCATTGATCTCTTAGGGTTTTCAGTTTTTGGGGGAGGAGGAGAAAAATAAGATAACTCAAATGGGCATAGGCCTATAACATGATGAGAGAGGGTAAGTTATAGAGAACGAATGTGTGTGTGTGTGTGTGTGTGTGTGTGTGTGCGTGCGTGCACTAATATAGGTGTGTTCTGGGAGGTTATCGACACTAAGCTATTAGGGAAGTTTTCTCTCAGGAGGTAACATTTTGAGCTGGGTTCTGTATGATGAAAGTGAATTAGCCTCACAAAATCTGGAGTAAGAAGAGTGTTCTTGCTTAAAAAAAAAAAAAATAGTGTGCAAAGCCATGAGGCGTATCGTCAAGTATTTCTTCCCACCCATTTCACAATGATGAGCACACAGCATTGTATCACGATGTCTTGGATACAAACCACTGTATTACTAGTGGGTTGCTGGTGGAATATTCTAGGAACTAGATACTGAAACTACTAAGAAATGCTTCTTTAGAAGGGAAAGAATCTAAAGGTTAAGAAAAAGTAATCAAGCCATTAGTAGAAGAGAAAGAGATCAAGGTAGAGGAGATAATTTGAGGAAAGTGAGAAAAAGCAGGGCACATTCAGGTAACTGGAGATAGTTCAGTAGGATTGAAGCGTACATGTGGGAAGAGAGAGCCAAAGATGAAGCTGGAGAGAAAAAATAGAACAAAAACATAAAAACTTAAGTATGTTGTGGAGGCATTTGAACGGCTTTTTAAATACTTGGAACTCTATCGAATACTAAATTATGCAGAGATATAAATTTATTATTTATTACATACTATACTATTAAATACTATTATATATTATATATACAGCATATTATATATTATTATATACTATATATATTATATATAAATTTAGTAATAATTTGGGGCCATTCATATACTCTAAAAAGTACCTAGAATCTTTGCTTTCCTGGCCTGAGAGCAACTTAAAATTATTAAGTCTGACTCTCGAATTTAAAGGAAAATATCGATCAGTGGTTTTTACTGAAATACTATGAGTTTGTCTTTTTTTTTTTTTTTTTAATATTAATTACCTAAGTATTGCTCATAGAGCTTCAGATTCAGGAAAGCTGAAGTGAATCTTGGTCATCTGCATTCCTAAATAGCTCCCTAGATAATTTTGAAATACTGCCTGTTTGGAAAGTACTAGGATCAACTATTCTCCAGGGAAGCTTCTCAAGGGAAAATGTTATTACTTCTTTATAATTAATATTCAGAATACTCAGGATACAAAAAACATATTTAGGATAAGTTACAATTTATTTAAATGTAATAAGAACAGTTAATAATAAAAAATAAGACAAATCAAGAATAAAGATTTTGTCAGATTTCTGTGTTTGGAAAGTTACTATTTGCTATCTAATCTTACCTTTCCTGTTGTAATGTTTCCATTTTCTCTTTAGGTAACCAATGTCTAATAGCATTTTCTGCCAGTTTATTAATGCATTCTATTGTATTTATCACCAAGAGAAATTTAACTCATTTCTCCAATAGTTCAATATAATTTGAAGTTTTAAATTGTATTTTTAATACTTGAAAATTCAGTATATTAAATACATTTATTACATTAATTACTTAAATATCTTCAGTATAGTAAACTTTTAAAAATCAGGTATATACAGGCCAAATGGCTATGTTTAAATCTGTTATCTAGTGATTTTACTTTAAAATGCATATTGATATGCTTTCATTTGAAAAGTAAAAATAAAGTTAAAGCCTTTTAAGCTAAATTATGCCATAATGAGTCTGAAACTCGTTTCCATTTTTAGAAACATTTCTTAAGCAATGCTGCTTGGGGCATATCCTCATATTTTATGGGTAATTACCTGTATGACACTGTCCCCAGGGCTCATGTCTGTATAAACATAGACATCATACGATATTTCAGGGAAGGTCGGAGTGTTATCATTTGCATCCATCACCCTGATATTGACGATAACTGGCTCACTTTCTTGTACACCATCAAAGGCCGTAATCTTTGGGGGTAGAAAAATACATTTAATAGAGAAGTCATGCAAACATAAGCAATACAAAATGACTCATGTATGTATGTAATTTACAGTTCAAAAGGGTGCTAAAATATTTTGTCGATAAAAGAAAATAATAAAAATATAATAGTATACATAATCGAAGTTTTAATGTGCTTAGTATCAACGATGGAGAATTCCATTTAATTTTAGTTTATTCAATTCCAAGCACCTACTTCAAGTAGACCAATAACATTACTGATTCTTAGGAGATAACTACTATGTAATTTTTTTAATTAATAGAAAAAATATTTTCCACTTTTATATATTTTGTATATAATGCAAGAGTTGCTTTTACAGTCAACGTGTCCTATATATGAAATATTGTTTTTTAGCAATTCACAAAATGAACTTTTTAAAGGATTCATTAGTATTAGTTAATAGTGCTATCTTAATTACATTATTAACATTTTAAGACGATGACAAAAAAAAAATCAGTGCTATAATACTACTATACTTATTCTGAAGGATTTACGAAATCCACTCTGTATCAAATTTTTAACTGTCAATTTAGGTTTTCTGAAAGCTCTGGCTTAAGGTCTTCTACTGTATAGGCTTCTCCAGAAAGAACTCACAGCTTTAATAAGCTTCTTTTTTTTTTTACTTAATTAACCTAAGATTTCTCCAACTCAGTACTATTGAAATTTTAAGCCAAATAAGTCTTTGTTGGGGTGGGGGGGCTGTCCTGTGTATTATAAGATTATTATAAGATGTTAAGCAGCATCTTCAGTGTCTACCAACAGGATCCCAAGAGCAACCCCTCACATTAGTGACAACAAAAAACATTTCCAAACATTGCTAAATGTTCATAGAGGAAGGGGGCAGTGAGGTGGAGAAGGAGGCACAGGGATTACCCTTACTTGAGAACCACTGGCCTAATCCCATGACAAAATTAAAACAGCAATAACAAAATAAAGTTTAGGAAATAATTCTTTACTTTGTGGTTTCTAATTTATATCTCAGTTTAAGTCAATCATGAGTATATGGTAAAAAATGAAATACCCAGTGTTTGGTTTTCATCTTGAAAATGAATTTTCTTCTGTTGAAAAGCATGGTAAAACAGCTATACAAACTTATGAATAGAAAAAGAAGATATTCATGTGAAGAATTTTTTTATTAATATTCTTTATGATATTACTTGAAAATATTGCATTTTTCCTCTCAAATCTTTGACTTTTTCAGTTTTAAACAGACACCTCTTTCTGTTACATACATGTACACACAAATTCTCTTTACCGAAAAGGTGTAAGTTTGCTGTTCTTCCCTGTCCACTGGTTGAAGTAAGGTGAGGAAGCGAGTAATACCGGTCTGCGTGACGGTGAAGACTGAGGAGTAGTCATTCAGAAAAAGGTGAAGCTCTGGGTCTTTAGTCTAAAAAAAAAAAAAAAAAAGCCATTTTTTAAAATGTCGAATAAATAATGCAGTTGTTAGTTTATTACTCGAAAATTATTTATCCGATTTATTATATAAATATGCACAACTACACTAAGAATTTCTAAAGAAAAAAGAGCTTTTACTAAATATTTACTCATAATTCAGCAAAAGCATCCAAAAGACAATAACTCATTTTGTGGAAAACAAACTAAGTACTAGTAATATTAATATGAATAAAAGAAAAATAGCAATAAGAAGTATAAAATAAAAAGCAACCCAATTGAATATATACTAATTTATTTAATATAAATATTTTTCAGAACTTCGGTGGACTCAAAAAATAAAAATTAAAAGCAAAAATAGAAAATTTTTTTGCAGTCAAGAATTTTAGCTTTAAAATTCTGCAATTACTTCATTTATAGTAATAAAATGCACATATGTATATTACTATCCTGTTTCTGTAATTGCTGGTAGCAATGAAAAAAAATAAAATTAGTTATGTATAATTCATTACTTATAAATACCATGCTTCCTCTTCTTATTTTAATGCTGTAAGTGTTTTCCAAGGGGAAACATTTATTCTAACCAATTTCCCGTTTGCCCCGAGAATAGTCGCCAGTAGTGCTTGTGGCTGTAGTGTTTAACCTGAGATAACTCGCAAATTACAGTCCTAACCTTATCCTCAAATTCTGCCATGAAATGTCCCACTTTTATTATTATTTTCTCGTCGCTTCAGTATATCGATAGCCTTTGAGACAATGGAATCATTCTATTTATAGCATTCTGTTTTTAGTAGTGGCATTTCCATTTGCTAAATATAGTAATTCTTGATCACCAAAAATGTCAAATCTTACAAAACGTAGCATTCCTACACATTACTTTAACATTGTTCTTGAATAGTTGTTAGCCAAAGATTCATTTGATGAATCTGATTTATGTATACATTTCTATCACAGGATTAGAGGCAAGTTCTGTTTACAAATAACTTCAAGAACAGTTTTTATATTTTATTTTCACATTGAAAACCAGTCAGATTTGCTTAAGCCTCAAAGAGCGTGTTTACATAAAATTAAATTAACGCTGGTAGCAAGTTGCACTTTTTTTCTAAACAGGAAATGGGTTAATTAAAATATTTCAGATGATTAAATTGAAATATATGAATTTATCACATGTCTTATAAGAGTCTAGAAAAATGGTTATATATAAAGAGGAAGTGATTGCAAAAGTTCAAAGCAGAAATAATTAAGCAAGCACTGGAAACCCTTCACAATCTTATTGCCATCTCTGAAAGATAAAGTATTAATCTCTGCAACACAGAGAAAGATCAGAGACATAAAGTAGGGAGGCTTGAATTGGTGTCTGCATAGTGGAATAGGGAAGCAGGTGGGGCAAATATAAGGGGAATATTGTAAGAGAGTGGACGTATCAGGAAAGCTATGAAAAAATAGCAAAAAGAGATGATACGGAGAGGTAAGTTGTTTTTATTGATTATGGCAATTTTTAAAATAATTTGCACTGTATGATTTAAAATGTGATTTAACATCATAGATTACTTTTCTAAGTCTAATATTAAGGGTTGAGAGCAGAGTAAAGAGCCTGGAATTTGTTAAATTTGAAAAAAAATTTGAAAAAAATAGAGCTCACATTCTAAAAATTTACATATAAAAGTGAGAAGTTGAAAGCATACTATATTATTAAAAAGTGGGCATAATTTGATTTACAAGATACATTATACATCTTAAGTTTCAATGTGTTTATGTCAAATAACTTTGAAATGAATGGTTTTATTTGAACCCAAAACAAGTTGTGTATCATAATATCTCATTATGAGATATTACTTAGCTCTATCATGGTAGCTTCTATGTCCATGATTTTGATATAAGGTCAGTGTGCTACATTTATCCTGAACAATAAAAAAAATAATACTACAGATAATGATTTCCATTAGTATAGTTAAAATAAAATAATCAAGGTTGTTAAGAGATGTAAAAACTCAAGATTTACACTGATATTTTCATATAGGCACTTTAGTTGTTTTTATTTCAATGATGTTTCTCAAACACCTAGAAAGCTGGGTATTTTGATTAATCAATTGTGTTAGTTAATAAAAAGTTAAATTATTTATTTAAAAAAGTAAGTTATAAAGTATTTACAACTAAACATATTTTGAACCACATATTGAGGATTTTTTTTATTTTGTTACACTTTGGAGTCAATTGTAATAACATTATTTTTAAATGGTCAAAAATGTTAATTAGCATAAGGTTTCAATTAATAAAAACTAAATAAATATCATGTCATTTTTTAGTGTTTATCCTTGATTTTATCTAATCACTAGATTTCAAATTCATAGATATTTTTCTGTTCTTTGTGTGTACCAACAATGGTGCCTATGAACACAGCTTCTGCTACTCATGCCTGTACACTACTAGTAATCCAACCAGAGTGAATTTTGCTATTCAATTTGCTTATCAAATATTTATTTTTTTCCCTTTATTCAAATCATTCAGTCATTTTCTACTTCCTTTATAACTAATTCTCTCTCAATTTCCTTTCCTCCATTCAACTGTAGCTTCTATTAGTAAATGTTTTAGGTATTTTCATTCACACACTCACCACATGGTTTAAAATTTTTTTTATGTCATGGTACTGGTAATAGTGTAATACTGCACTGGATTGTGAACTAGTGTAGGTATATGTGATTGTATTCTTATATGGTTGTGTCATCAATAACACCATTCATTTTACCAATTTATGAAAGCCACAAGATTTTCTTTGCAAATGTTTCCCATTTAAATGACAAAATACACCAGGACTCCATAAATAGTCTCTTTCATATTTGATAACAAGAAACATTAAAGACTTTTGATAATTTAATTTTCTCTACTTCTTGAGTCTTTTTATAATAACTAGCTTGAGACTAAAATAGCATTTTCCAGAAGTGAAGCTTATTTATTTTATGTAGTGTAATACATAAATCTGGCATTATACATGGCATATTAAGCACATTCTAATCTGTTCTGCACAGTTAATCTCTGATTAAAATATAGCTTTCGAAGTTTATGAATATTTAAAATAGTAACCTTTTAATACCTATAAATAGCATTCATAGATGCTATTGGTGAATATCTGTGCATTGAAGTACAACAATTTAAGAAGGCAGATTGGAAAATGTTCAGCCAATTATACCCAAATTTAATATTTTAGATTTGTAAACATAATATCAGTTTCAGATGTGGTATATTATGAGTGTAAATGAACAGATAATGTTCTAGTTTAATGTTCTGATAGGGATGGAAAATTTTATCTAGTCCCATGTCTACAAATTTATTTAAAATAAATATTAGTTTTTTAAATCAATATGTACACAGAGAGATGATTAATAAATGTTCTTTTTCCTCCGATAAGAGGTAATATTACTTTACTCTAAAGTATACATTCACTATATACCAAAAGTATGACATATTACTTCATTGATTTGTGTATTATTTCCTGGGAGGTTAAAATAAACTCTGATACTCACAGCACAGAAAAAGTGAACACATAAGAAACACATATAAAAATTCACATGTTACAAACATATGAAATGTAAAATTTTAAACTCCCATCATATAGAAGAAATACTTTCAAATTTGACATTTGAAATATGTTCAAATATTGCATTTGAAATCAATTTTGAGTTTCCAATGGAAATCAAACTATGATATCACACACACAGAAGATTATATGCATCACATATATACACATATAACACAGAAATGTATATATACATATATATGTTTATGCATATTTATGTGCATATATATAAATTATGAAGCATAACATGAAAATGACAAATTCAATCTCATTTGCCAACTTGAATGAGTTGACAGTAATTATTTGAAGTACTTGTTCAAAAGGATTCAACCCTAAATTTAGAATCTTTCAGAAAGAATGCAGTGATGAATTACTAGTGTTCATCATGGACTAAAAAAAAATTAATAATTAATCTTTGTTTAAGTTACATGCAACGTGGATTCCATATAATTTTGATCTACTATAATAAAATATATTTAAGGTATATCTAGATACATATATTTAAAGTAGTTATGGATGTTTTTCTAGGTGATAATGAGTAATTGCCTACTTGTTTCAGTGGAACAGAAAAAGAACAAGAAATTGAATCACAGCAATTAATGAGAGAACAAACACAAAATCAAAACTTAGTACCTACAGGAACTCCACCAGGTGGAACCTATATGCAAATTAAACATGAAAAAAATGTAAATAGAATTGAGCATGAACATAGATATGACATACAAGTGTATACTAGTAAAATAAATAAATAGCAAATAAAAAAAAAACAAAATAACATTTTCCAAGATATATTTTCTTCTTTGTATTCTAATATATCATAGCATACAATTGATAGCATAATATTTATAAAGCATTTAAGTACATTTTAGCTTTAAGCTTATATTGTATTAAATTTCAAAGACACCTTTATTTTGAAACACATCCGTATCACATCACTTTATACAAGGATGTGAATTGACATGAAATTGTAAGTGAATCAATGCATTTCTACAAGCCAGTGTGTAACCTCAATAATCAATTTTTAGTGGTTCAGCCACTGAAAACCTGGTGGTCTCAGACATAACTTAAAAACTTTGTGCATTACATTACCTACATTTATACTAGATTATCTTGAAACTATGAGGTAAGAGCACTTGAAAAAACATTAATGTGATTCATATATATGCTATATATGTATATGTTAATATCTGTATATCTGTAAAAAGAAACAGTAAAACCAATTTTGTTTACTTTTATTTTGTTTCACCGTGACACTTTTGATTCCTTCTGACTCAAAATCTATACTGCTAATAATGCCACATATCATCAATCCCTGACACTGTTTCTTAAAATGTTGTCTTTCCACTGATTTGAAAGAAGAAACATCATTTAACTTTTGGACAAATAAAATCAAATCTGACCTCTTCTCGGCATTTGTCTTTTGGCATGGCTGTTTTTTGAAGCAACTCAGGAGAACCAATTTCCACAGTGACAACTCTTTTCATGTCTGATGCTTACTCTCTATTCCTGTCACTGACACTTATGTGAGGTGACATGTCTCTGTCTATATTCTTAAACTCTTTATCCCTATTCAGATTAATTTCACTTATTCTGACTCAAAGTCAGCAAGAATTTACCATATAGTAAAATTTATGCCTGTGAATGAAAAGAGCCTTGAAGATTTATTTTGTTATTTTTGATCTTTAAATAACTTAGTGATAAACATATTTCACTTTTTAAAACTAAAGAATAATTGATCTAGAAAAAAGAGATGATTTGGAAGGGCATAAATCCATCTTCAAATATATTAATGACTATTTCATAGATTTATTCTGTGTGCTGGCAAATGGAAGATATAAGGAATAATGGATGAGATATAAGAAGGCTGTTTTTAATTCAGTATGATGAAGAGCTTTCTAAGAATTAGTTGCTCAACCATGTAAAGTGTTGTATTGTGAGACAGTTAATTCAATATCATTAGAAATTTTGATGCAAATCTTAGGTATCTTCATTCTATGAACTTGCTTAAATTATAGATATACAGAAGCTATGCAAGATATTGAAAAACCTTTGTCACTAGGGGATGAGGCATATTTGTTCACTTTCTGGGCTCCTAATGACAATCATTCACTATGAATAATTTTAGGTAAAGAATGGTTCTAAATAATAAACAAATGGCTGGATACACTTTATGTGACATTTTGATAAAATGTATTAATCATGCCACCGTCCATATACATGGCATCATCTAAAGAAAAATTTCTCTCCATGCCCATCTCCACCAGCCCCAAGCAAAGGAGCAGGCCAAAGCATAGTGATTGCTACCATATACTTTTTGGATCACAGGTGATTGACTAAAAGGGAGTAACAGGTGAATACAGGTCTCACAGTATTACACAGCTATTACATAGTAGAACCAGGAGTCAAATCCAGGGCTGGCTAACTTCAAAGCACAAACTCCTAAGGACCACAACATACTACCCCACCCCTGGAAACAGCTTGGAACACTTAATAGGTTAACTGGCATTAAATATCCAAGAGTAGAATTCTAGGTAGTGTTTCCCAAAGATTTTAAACCCAGGACTTTTTCCCACCCCACCTCAGCAATACCTTGTGAGTCCTACTATCCTTTGCAAAGTCCCTTAGAAAAGGACGTTAATAAAATTTTTCCAGAAGAAGAAAAAAATCTGAAATTTTCTCTCAATTTACTAAACTGATGATAAAGCTCCATTTAATGAATTTTGGGGTACATTCTAGAGTTATGCTGTCCATTTAGTGACATCTGACTATTTAAATTTAAATCAATTAAAATTAAACAAAATGTTAAAATTATGTTTTCAATCTAGCTACTTTTCAGGTGCTCCATATCTATATATGCTACCATCTATTGGACAGAGTAGCTACAGAACATTTTCATCATCACAAGAAGTTTTATTGAAGAAGAAATTGCTGAGTTAAGACTTTTCAAGTTGCAAGTGACAGAAATCAAACTTAAAGTACATTTTGAAAAAAAAAATGTGTTAGAAAATACTATAGTGGATCATAGAATCAAAGAAAAATATTTAGGATTAGTATATCTTTTGGGACCTCAACACCTAAAAAACAGGAACCCACTAGGACACTTCTCTGTGTGGCTGTCAAGCTCTATTCTCTTCTACTGATAATGGGTGTTCTTCGTGATGTCAGCAAAAAGTTGGCTACCGTGGCTTCAGATTTACTTCCACTTCTTTATTATATGATGCCAAAATCTTCCAGCTCCATTTTTTTCCCCTGCCATTTCCCAGGAGGACTCTGACTGGCCTGGTATAGATTTTTTTGTCCACTCTTCATAGACTCACACTCGCAAGGATGTAAAATAATCTGATCTGCCCAGTCAGGACCACATCCGACTCATTTGGCTAGAGTCAGTACTGGAAAAACAGAGGACAATGATGCGAGGAGTGGAGGAGTGTTCTCATCAGCATAGCCACTGGCAGAAGTGTAAGCAGTTCAATTGCCCTAAATGCTTTTTCTTTAATAATGTACCATCAGAAAAGTGCCCCAAATCCCATTCCGGGGTTGCCATCATAAATTTTTTATACTCATTGTTTAATGCCATCATTTTTCCCTATCAGCAATTACATAAGAAATGTTTTCACCCATGTTAATAAATAAGATTGCCTTAGTAATTTAGCTAACCATAAGTGAAACATTCATTTTCTTCCTTATATTGAATATCTGTAAACTAAAAAAAGAACAGTTGCTGAATTCAAACATATTTTTAAAAATAATATACTTAATATGGAATTACATTACTATGCTGACTTATTATACTGATTTTTTTCTCCATTCTATAGCTGATGTAACCATGTCTTTGTAATATTTTCTACTGATATAAACATAAGAGATTGTTAACAAAACAAGAGCAAAACTTATATTTTACTTACATCTTCTATATCCTTGTCCAGAGCCACAATTCTCAGAGGAGTGGTCAAATTTAGACTGTCAGAAATAGTTGCTCCCACTGGGGCAGACTCCAGGATATAGCCTTGATAACTGGGCATTGTGAAATATGGGCTCTGATTGTTTTCATCCAGTATTTCAATATGTAGGCTGGCAAAGGCTGGAAGAGGATGTCCGTTGTCCTGTTCAGCCTAGAAAAGAATTAAAAAGCTTAAAAAATTATGTTACTCTATGTCAATTATAATTGAAAAAATAAAAATATAACAAATTTAAAAAATTATGTTATGAGACAACTTTGAAGTGTAACTTTTCATACTATCTATAGGGAATCTCTTTGAACTGGGATCATTACAGAAAGAAGGAATGCTTCAAAGTTAGAGGGACTTAAGAAACAAATGAGGAAATGGAAGTCCAGACAGATTTCATCTGATTTTTGGTCTCCTGTCCTCAAACCCAGTGAATTATATTTTTAAAATAATAATAATCACTACTATGAAATATTATAGCTGTCACTACATATTGTTAAAAGAGATAACTGTGCTTAACTACAGTTAGATGGAAAATTGAGAAGTAAGGATATATGAGTGAATTGTTGATAAAATGTTTAAATAACAGAGAAAGAGATTCATAACTCAAAGTCTTATCCTTATTTTTGTCTCTTCCAGATCTTCTCATTCCACACTAATAATTAAATACCCAAATAACTCAGAATTCTATATAAAATTAATAGATTAAGAGTACATTTGAAAAGTCCTCAAAAGCATCATATAAGAAACATGGTTAATTTCAATGGACTATTTTTAATACTTATAGAATTTCAAATATATTCAACCAGAAATATGTTATTCAGGTAAAATTAATATTTATGTATTAGGAATATGTTTTTCTTGTTTTTTTCTTATTTAGTGTTTTTTTTTTTTTTTAATCATGACAAATTATCTATCCAATAAATTTTCTTGGGGAATCTCCATATGGTCATGTTGTAAATAGAGAAACATCAACCCTAATTTTCTGGGTTTTTTTGTTTTTTGTCTTTTTAAATGTATCCTCTCTTATAGTAATCCAAAAGTTTTATTTAAGGGAAGATTTCATTACAATTAACTTCTAAAAAATATTCTCCAATCTTTAGGAGAAATCATTGACATAAGTCAATAGCATATGCTTTTACTGAAATAGATCCAAATTCTCTGTCATAAATTTTTATTGATATGTTTATTCCATTGTTGCAATAGCTGTATTTTGAAATTAATTCAATGTAAAAGTTAAATACTTTATATTAAATTCTGAAGTGTTTTTCTAGAAGAAATAGTGGCACTTTGGCTATGAAAGTTTACAAGTATTTCAAATAGATATCTCTGATTGCTCAATCCAGAAACAAGAACTTGGGCCTCTAGAAGATAATTTTGTACTTTCTTATAATTTTAATTTAACATTTTCATCAATTAAGAGAGTAGGTAACAAATCAAAGTGATGATGATACTGGTGACTTTGAACCAAGAAACATCACAACATATTATCACTTCGTATTATTAATATTTAAGATATTTTGAAATGCCATTTATGCAATTTATTAATTTGAAATTATGGTAATTAATAAACCCATCATGAAATAATATTATATAAAGTATGGATTTTTAAAAATAAATCTTTGTTTTTTAGTATTTTGATAACTATTTCAATAGGTCAGATTTCCATTGTAAGGCTATATATAGTTTATTTTATTCACTTAGGAGCAGATTGTCAAAGTGGTCCATGGCACAAAATGTTTATGATACCCTGCCCTGCACTATGGAGACAATGGTATTAAAATAATGTGCAGCCTTTTCAGAAATTATGTATTCTTCACACATAACAATATGTGCTCTTGACACCATCAGGATGGGTAAGATCTTTCTGTATCCAGCGGCTGTGATTAACCTGTGCTGAGCTGTGGATATTCTGCTAGGAGTTCCCTCTGTGGCATACAGTAGGCTTTTTGGAAACAGCTGATCAGGACAAGAGGTACAGTCTATGATGAGAAAAGATCACTTTTCTCTGGATGAAATTAATTGGTCTAAATAGGGTTCTGACCCAACAACCTTGATCTGATTACCTCAGGAGCAATTCACATACTCAGTTGGTTCTGAACAGGACTTTCTCTCTCTCTTTATTTTGTATCTAATTATTCTAAAAGCCATTATGTCATATCCTGGACATACTAATAATGCTTTGAAAAGCCACAAAATTATAGTTTGTCCCCTTCCCCCAAAGAACACACACAAACACATAATTTATGGATGAGAGAGGAAAACAAAAAGCAAAATTCTCTAACAATGAAAGAAACATATTTTACATTCAGCTCATATGTTGTTAATTTTTAGTGCCAGCTGTGAAGCCAGGGAAATCATGTATTATTTGCATTATGAAATAAAAGTGATCCAATGAAAAAAGAAATAAAACTTAAATCAGATCTATGAAAACAATTTAATTCCCCAAATCTTTAAAAACAACATGCAAAAGTTCCGTCTGTTGTTACCCTAACAGTTTGTTGCTAATATGACTAATATTTTTGGTTCGCTACTACATAGTCTGTCCTATTTGAAGGTTTCAGAGGTGCTAACTAGATATTTATCTCCAAAGTCCACATTCTTAACCTCTATGTTATTTTGCCTCTCTAAATGTGAAAACATATACTTTTGTATTGATGAGGAAGCAAAAAAGGTTAGTTTTATGTTCAAGGCCACACTACATATGAGCAATAGACAGATTAGGGCCCAGAGTCAGGTCTTCTAATTTATGAGAGGCTACACAGGGAAATTCACCACCAATTTCTCTAATTTAGAGAATGCAAATGAATATACAACTGTAAGTTAATAAGAGAGATTAGTGGCAGGAACGAATATTAATAACATAGATATCCAAATTTGATAAGATTTAAATATGGCACTAAAAATGAATTAACATTATACTTTTCCCTTTAGGGGCCCTGTGCATCAAATTTTTCATCCAATACTCTTCTTCTACATAATATAAATTGAAATTCTCAAAAATCAGATTTATTTTGTTCCATTGTAATCACCAGTGAATACATACAAAAACGCAGGTCAAATGAAACAGGTAGCATTTAAAAAAAAAATTCATTCTATAAGATGATGTTATTTATATCTATAAAATCTGTACTTAGAAGTTAAACATCATATTTAAAAGCCAGATTTTGTTTTGAAAATTTCCAGGCATAAGCCCCATTTTCAGTAATGAGACCCAAGTAAAACTAAAGCCAAACAAGCAGAAGTATAAAAAATATATTTTGAAAGAGACAACTACTCCATTTTCAATATTAAAATAACCAAACATTGATAATCTCTTAGCTCCTTGCACCGAGAGCTAAGAATACAGAATAACTTTTTTCCTGCTGTCTGGTTGCAAGCAATTTAACAAATTCCACAATCTCCAATATGAACTCTGTCAAGTAGATGTAATAATTTAGGGGGAAAAATAATATGGGGCAGATTGTCAAGACATTTAAATAAATGCTAGGGAAAAAAGAAAGAAACCATTTTTACCTAGAAAGTCAGGAATTACTTATTGTGCATCTACACTGCCCACTTTTATCATTTTACTCCTCACAATTTTTCCTAACTCCACTTCAGTCAGGCTTTCGCGCCACCATTCAAATACAGCTGTTCTTATCAAAATCACCTGTGACTCCTACATTGCTGAAAGCAGTATATATATTCATGTCTTATCTCTCCTGACCTATCTTCAGCATTTAAAACGTTATCTATGTCTATGGCCATGCCACTCTGAACAAGCCCGATCCCATCTGATCTCGGAAGCTAAGCAGGGCCTGGTTATTACTTGGATGGGACACAACCTAGGAAGACCAGGTGCTGTAGGTGTAAAAAATAAAAAAAATAAGAGATTGTAAACTGACAAGGTCCTTGCAATCTGTGAGGCCAACCAAGGGTTGCCTTGCCTAAAACAAACAAACAAACAAACAAAAACATTATTCACTAGCCTTTCATGATCACATTTTCTCTTGGATTTCTTCCAGTGTTACTATCCATTATTCTCATTCTCATTTGCTGATTTCTACCTTTATCCCCAACTTCTTAAAATTGGAGTGGCCTTAGTCAAGTCTCAATTGTTTTCTCTTCTTACTCACTTCATTGCTCATCTCATCTAATCTCGTGGCCTTAAAAATTTCAATAACATAATGACTCCCAATTTTTATCTCCTCTGAATTCCAATCTATATCCAATCGTGTACATAACAACTCTGCTTGGGTATCAAGTATAACCTCTGCAAAAATAAAATTCTCATCATCACCACCACAAACGGTCTTTTTCACTTTAATAGCAGCTCCATAATTTCAGTTACTCAGGCCAAGAACCTGGAGGTCACCTGTACTCCTTGCTTCATTTTATACCTTATATCTAATCTATAGAGATATTTTATTGAATATAATTTTAAAACATATGCAGAATCAAACAACTTTTCACCTCTTCCATCGTTACCACCTTGATCCTGCCTATCATTTTCACCTGGATTATCTATCAGCTTCTACGTTGCCAATAGCCTGTTCCCTAATTGCAATCAGTGTTTTCATTAAAAAATAGCCAGATCATTTTACTTCTCTTGTTAAAACCCTTCATTAATTACAAATTTGTCTCAGGCCCCATGGTTCTGATCTCTTCTTTTGCCACATTACTCTCCTCACTCAATATGCTCTGTCCTTTTCCTGGACATCACGCTCATTGCTATCCTTCTCTTAAGTAAAACCTTCAATACGTAAAGGACAAAATTTCTCAAAATTGCCCCTCCTACTTAAGTACAGGCTGCTTATTCACCTTTATTGGAGATTGACTCTGAAAACTGGAAGGTCTACCCAGCTACCCAAGGTTCATGGAGATCCATTTATCCCTTTATTTCCAATTCTAAGTTCAACTCTCAAGTAGATAATGAAGAGCGTTTGCTCTTGAAAATTTTGCTGGATGGCTAAATTTATACTTCTGTTTTATTTTTGATTAGAAATTAGATTCACTTAACATTTTTCCTAATCACTTTAGATTGTTAAAATTAGTTAAGCTTTCAACTAACATTTATTGCATTCATGATGTTATTAGTTTATAACTTTCAAATATGAGGCATTTAGACATGTTTGCCATAGAACTCAAACATAAATTACTTGGCCTATATTTGGAAGCAAATG